TCCCTCCCCCATGTAATCCCCAAAAGATCCAGAAATTCATTTTTATCTGAATTCGACAATTCACCAGTCATTTTGATCAATCGCATGCAGATTTTCAACTCCATGGCCGTGGTGGCTATGAGCGTTGGTCCAGTTGAGCAGGAAGGCACCGGGATGAGAAAGCTTAAATTTTGAGGCCTACAGTGGAAGAATCAGAAGGGTGATGGCATGCTGTAGCATCAGCCTATAAATATGATAAAAAGTGATTATGTAAACTTGCTGCATTGCCTTGCTGTAGCATTTGCCAATAGTTATAAAGGGAACGTCTCGTGTCACTTTCTCTGCTTTGAATTTCTTCTGTGAGGCCATAACTTGCATTAAGCCTAAAAGACCCTTGAATCTTTCCTTCGTGTATCGTTAATCATTATTTTGTTCATTTTATTTATTTGTTGGTTTTTTTAATGTGTATCTTGCCCTTTGCAAAGAACTACTTCAGAGCAGATAATACGGTAACCATAAGAACTTCGTTAAGTATAAAATAAAAGAATAAAAAGAAAAGGATGGATCCCATTCCCACTATATCGGCTACAGTTATTCGATGGATTTGACATGCCAGCTTGTCAGTCAGTTTTACCCAAGTGCCTTTTTCTTAGCAAGGACAATGCCTCAGAAATCTACCATGTCATGTCGCCCCTTAACTTTATCTGTTTGTGAGACTACAAGACAGTTCTTCCTCAAATTTGTATAAGATGTTTTACAGGTGGCACCTACCCCCAACGAGGATAGCCAGAATGTTCAAGAATAAATCGGAGAAATAATAATAATAATAATAATAATAATAATAATAATAATAATAATAATAATAATTTTATTTCTATACCGCCCTTCTCCCGAAGGACTCAGGGCGGTGTACAGCCTATTTAAAAACAGAATAGACATCAATTTAAAATAATTTAAAAGTATTAAATAAATTTGGCTTAATTTAAAACCCCAAAAATTTAAAACATCCAATTTAAAATGATGTTGCTAACCCAGCCTGGCGGAACAATAGGGTCTTGAGTGCGCAGCGAAATACCCGGAGGTCAGAAATTTTACGAATTTCTGAGGGCAGTTTGGAATGTTGGAAGTGTCATCAGACTCCAGGATCATATTACCATATGTGGTGGACATGTGTAGAAGCTAAAAGATATTGGACTAAGATACATATGTGGTTGGAAAAAATGACAAAAAAACATACTGACTTTAAACCAGAGATATTTTTATTGGGAATTTTACCAGAAAAATATAACAGAGAAGTGCAATATTTAATTGTGAACTTTTTAACAGCAACTAGAATCGTATTTGCTAAAAATTGGAAAGGAGAGAAGTTACCTACTGATGATGAGATTATTAAGAAAATTATGGAATGTGCTGAAATGAGTAAATTGACATTTGAAATTAGAGAACAGGAAGATAAACAATATTATTTGATATGGGATTTGTTTTATCAATGGATAGAAAATAAATCATGGAATTGAAGTATGAAATATGGGGTTGATGTAAAGATAAAATATCTGATGTTTTTTTTTCTATATAAAAGATATAGGTTTCTGTTATAAATTGGTATTTTAGAAATGGATTTATGCACAAGAGAATATGAACCGTTCGACTCACTGTCTGTAATTGTTTGGAATGATGATGGTTTTATGTTTTGTTTTTGTTTTAAAATTTAAAAAAATTCTCAAAAAAAAAAAAGACAGTTCTTCCTCTAGATCTTGCAGCAAAGGCAAGCTAGTATGCAAATAGCCACTATTTTAAATACCTTGGTTTTGTTGGAAGAAAAATCCATCTGGTTCATTTTCAAGCTGGGAGAAAGAAGCTGGAAACAACATGGAGGCTGATTGGAAAGTTGGTTTATTGAGCAGAACCACAAAGACAGTGTGCAGTTCTGGGTCAGCTGAACAAATGGTCGGATGAGTGGATGGATCTTTATAGGTTTCTGTGACTTTGAAGTTTGAGCTGTTCTGGGGGTGGTGCAATGAAGGGACTTGTGTTCTGAAAGGGTGTTGGGCAATTCCTATTGTGGCGAATGGCTTTCGTCCTGTGTTGGATCTTGGGCGAGGGGCTGCTTCTAATCCTATCACTCTGCTTTTGTTAGCTGTCAAACTTTGCGGCAAGCAGTTTCGAAATATCCTGTCTTGAATAGATTTCTGCCTGCAGCATTCGCTTTGCTTATGAATAGAGCTATCTAGATCAGGGCTCCCCAACTTGGGCAACTTTAAGACTTGTGGATTTCAACTCCCAGAATTCCTCAGATGGCAACGCTGGCTGAGGAATTCTGCGAGTTGAAGTCCACAGGTCTTAAAAGTTGCCCAGGTTGAAGACCCCTGATTTGGATAGTTGTCTTCCTCTTTCAATAAGCTCTTTATCTCTTAAGTGCTGGCATCTGCTGTGGGCTATTAAGAAAGACTTGGGAGCTGCTTTCTGCTTCTAAAAACATGTTTCTCCATTTGTCCTTCAGGGAAATATAATATTCTGCCTTTTTAATATTTCCCAAAATATTTCATTCTTCTGGTGGGGGCTTCCCACAGTTTCAAATTGCTTAGATTTTTGTGCAGATCAGTGTTTCTCAACCTCGGCAGCTTTAAGATGTCTGACTTGAATTCCCAGAATTCCTCAGCCAGCATCCATATTTAATTGCCATAACCATTAGGGAACTTTTCACAACATTCCACAAGAATCTTCCCACTTTTTATTTAAGATTATCATTTTGTGTGAAATTAAGGTTATTACTTTGCGGCAGGGTGGATTTGATTTAAATCAAGTTGATTTAAATCACAATTTAAATCATGATTTAAATCACTAGTAAAAAGGCTGGATTTAAATCAACTTGATTTAAATCATAATTTTTAAAGAGCAACTGTCATCTCTGCTACTCCTTTGACCCACTGTTGACTCACCGATAGTCCCAGTGTTGCAGAATATACAGCCTCATGCTACATAACTAAGCTCCATTTCATGCTGAATAAACTAAATTATTTATGTATCTTAAATAGAAAACTATCTTACAATAGATTTTTACCCCAAAAGTTAATTTATTAAAATAAATTCGATAACAATCAAAAAAATCCGATTTAAATTTTAAAAAAAATCTGATTTTTTTGATTTTTTTAAAAAAATCATTGATTTTTATCCACCCTGCTTTGCGGGGTCTGACCCAGGCAGAATATAGTGCAACTATGGCGTGACTTCCAGTGACATTTTGTTTCAAATTGATGGCAGTCAGAAGAAAGGATTTTATAATTTTTTTGTCCTAGAGTTTAGAGTGCCAGATATAGCTAACTGTAGACCTACAAACATTCAGTGACCATTCAGAGTTATTGAAAAAAGGGACTTATCACCGGTACTCGCCCTTACGACCGTCACACCATCCCTACAATCACGTGATGAAAATTCAGATGCTTAGTAACCAGTGTCTATTTACAACAGTTGCAGCATCCTGGGTTCCTGTGATTGCCATTTGCAAATCTTCCCAGCCAGCCTCTGACAAGTAAAGTCAAAGGGGGAAGCTAAATTTGCTTAATGACTGCACAATTCACTTATGATTCACTAACAATCTTGGCAAAAAAAAAGGTCATAAAATTGGGTGTGGCTCATTTAACAACTGCCTTGCTTAGCCACAGAAATTCTGGCCCCAATTGTGGTCGTAAATCGAGGACTACCTGTATCTCTTTGGATCAGCATGGCTGGCTGGGGAATTCTGGGAGCTGAAATCCACATATCTTAAAGCTGCCAAGGTCTCAACACTAATATAGATTATTTAGAATTCTACCTCATGAGTTAAACTGCTTCACCTAAGTGGCGGAAAACTCTATGGTACAATGTTTACTGGCAACCTGTCCCGCCACAGGGAAAATACTGGATGGTGATGTTAAGACATGTTAAATATGGGACTAAAGAGATTGGTTTTGTTTTTCTCCTATCCAAGCAAACTGTCAGCGTTCCAAGTAATGCACCCAAAGAAAGCAGAACTCCAAGGCAGATATATTCCTCAAGGAACGATTTATTGGATACTTCATATTGGCACAACTGGTGAAAAACGACTCTGAAGGTCCCCGTGGTTTTCACCTAATTAAAAAGTAAAAGTTCCCCCTTTTTCCCAAGTTATCAGTCACAATGTATAATCGAGGTGCTGGCTGGTTGCTTGGTTACTCCACTCCTCCTCTCCCCAGCCACCTGTTGGAATGTCCTTGGTTCCCACAGGAAAACTTTCTTGTTTTGACTACAAACCCCCTGCTAGCTATTTCCCTGCCTCCCTGTCCCTTCTCCTTCCTTGTGGCAACCCTGAAGCCTCCAAGATGGCCTACAGCCAGGTTCACTTCAGGGTTGACACAGTCTTTACCAGCTTGTAAGAAAACCTCTGCCAAGTATTCTCCTTAACATGAGGGTTGGAATTAGAGGGAAGGCAAGATTGGTTGGTTGCAGAGGTGGGTTTCAGCAGGTTCTGACCAGTTCTGGAGAACCGGTAGTGGAAATTTTGAGTAGTTCAGAGAACCGGTAGTAAAAATTCTGACTGGCCCTGCCCCCATCTAATCTCTGCCTCCCAAGTCCCAGCTGATCGGGAGGAAATGGGGATTTTGCAGTAACCTTCCCCTGGATTGGGGACGGAATGGAGATTTTACAGTATTCTTCCCCTGGAGTGGGGTGGGAATTGAGATTTTACAGTATCCTTCCCCTGTCACGTCCACCAAGCAACGCCCACCAAGCCATGCCACGCCTACCAAGCCACACCCACAGAACCGGTAGTAAAAATTTTTGAAACCCACCAGTGGTTGGTTGGTGATTGATTGATTGATTGAAAGACTAACAGGGACATCGATCCTAAGAGTCGTGATTCTCACAACAGTGCTACGAAACCAAAACCCATAAAACAATAAAAGCAAAAACCCTGGCACCGTAAGGTAAAATTACAAGATGCTTTATTATTATTATTATTTCCATCACGTGTTCCTTTTACCTGGACCCATTTCTCCTTTTCTTAGATGGAGTGGTTTATGCTTTAGGTGGAATGGGTGCAGACACGTCTCCACAAGCTCTCCTGCGAATGTATGAACCAGCTAAGGATCATTGGCAGTCTTTGCCGCCCATGCCGACACCTTGCTATGGGGTTTCTGCTTTCTTGCATGGGAACAAGATCTACGTGATGGGTAAGGATTCAGCCAACAGGGCCAGGCTGTGGGTGAGTTGGATTATACTTAACTGCAAACTTTGGTCCCAGAAGCTTCCCAGCCACAGGTAAGGTGGAGACATCAATCTCCACATTCCAATAACCATTCCAATGGTCTTTGGCTTACAACGGTTTGTTTTTAGAGACTGTTCAAAGTTACATTGACACTGAAAAAAAATGACTTACAACTGGTCCTCACACTTAGGGCTGTCGCAGCATTCCCCACGGTCATGTGATCCAAATTTGGGCACATGGCAACTGGCATGTATTTAGGATGATTGCGGTGTCCCAGGGTCATGCAAATGCCATGGGTGACCTTCCCAGCTAGCTTTCCACAAACAAAGTCATTGAAAGAGGGAAGATTTGCTTTAACGTCTACACCAGGGATCTCCAACCTTGGCAACTTTAAGACTTGTGGACTTCAACTCCCAGAGTTCCTCAGCCAGCTTTGCTCTGGGAGTTGAAGTCGACAAGTCTTAAAGTTGCCAAGGTTGGAGATCCCTGGTCTACACGATTCACTTCACTGCAGTGATTCACTTAGCAACCATCACGAAAAAAGGGTCACAAAATCACATAACAACTTACTCAGCAAGAGAAATTCTGGTCCCAACTCTGGTCTTAAGTCAAGGACTTGTAAATATCAAGAAATGCTCAAATATCATTTTATAAATGCTTGATCCAGAGTTTGTTACCCTGAGGTAGAAATCCAGCACCCATAATGAGGTCAAGCCTTTATTGAGGCTTACCAAAGAGACACAAAGAAGAGTGCAGGCTTTCAAAGTCTCCAGAATTCTTCGAGCACAAAGTATTATGAATTAACAGGTGAGGGGGGAAAAAGACTTCCTGGCTTCTTTCCTATCCTCTGCTTTTTGGAACATCAGGCCCAGTGAAAGATTTCTGGAGAAATCTCACAAGCTTGTGGACATTTTTGTATTATTTTAGTTGCAACGTTTCTTTCCTTCATGAACCAATGTGGCTGTCATTGTTTTTAATAGGTTAATGGGTCATATTATCTTTCAGCAAGGAATCACTACCTAATGTTTTATACCTGCTTTGTGGCTTGATCTTGGGTCATTCATAGGCATTGGGGTTCTTTATGGAATGGGAAAGATTTCCATTACAGATGACCAGTTTTGGAAATGTTCACCTACTCATTAATTGTGGGGTGTGCAGCCAGGCAGATCTAATCTAAAACTAATCTAATATATATATAAACACTACTCTAAAATCAAATCTAAAACTAATCAAAGAGAGAACCAACCTAAAACTAAGGAGAAATTTCCTGACAGTGAGAACAATTAACTGCTTACCTTCAGAAGTTGTGGGTGCTTCATCATTGGAGGCTTTTAAGAAGAGACTGGACCTGTCTGGAATGGTATTCAGGGTCTCCTGCTTGAGTAGGGGGTTGGATTAGAAGACCTTCCAGATCCCTTCCAACTCTATTATTCTATTTTTGAACATGTTAAACCAGGGGTCAGCAACTTGCGGCTCCAGAGCCACATGCGGCTCTTTGGGCCCTCTGCTGTGGCTCCCTGTAGGGTGGTCCCAGCATTGGCTGGCCCCACCCCTCGCCCTCCCCTCCCAGTCATTCCTCGCCTGGCCTGAGAAGGTAAGGGTTACGGTGGGGGATGGAGAAGCGGCCAGGGCAGAGACAGAGAGATACAGAGAGAGAGAGAGAGACATAGAGAGATACAGAGAGACCGGGGGAGGAAGGGAGGGAGGGGAGAGAGAGATATGTCAAAAGGATTTTGTGGTTCCTGGTGTTTTTTAACAACTGGTACTTTGCCCTAATGACTGGCTGGGTAGACGTGGCCAGGGGGGTCATGTGACTGGTGGAAGTGAGTGACATCGAGTTGGCCATGCCCGTCCAGGTTTTGTGGCTCCCGGTGTTTTCTTTTCTGTGGGTGAAACAGGTCCAAATGGCTCTTTGAGTGCTTAAGGTTGCAGACCCCTGTGTTAAACATTTTGAAGTTGAACTGAGCTTGGTGGTTTTTGTTCTTGTTTTCGCAAGATCTTAACTTGCCTGCCTTTAGTACTCTGCCGTCAAAGGTATTTACCTGGCTTTGGAATTCAGTAGAAACTGTTGTATATTTCTTCAGTTTTGCTACACTTTGCTACACTTCATGAGTGATTTGCAGTCACGGTGTCTCTGATTTCCATAGGAGGACGACAAGGCAAGCTTCCTGTCACGGCCTTTGAAGCGTTTGATCTGGAAGTGAGAAGCTGGACACGCTACCCCAGCGTGCCCAGTCGGCGTGCCTTTGCCAGCTGTGCCATGGCTGAGGGTTGCTTCTTCAGCTTGGGAGGACTGCAACAGCCCGGCCCCCATAACTTCTATTCCCGACCCCACTTTGTCAACACCGTGGAGATGTTTGACTTAGAGGAAGGTAAACTAGAGATGTAGGTGTGTAAATTAAGTGGAAGAATTGTGAATCCTAAAATGATTATTATGTCTCATTAAAGGGTAGAAAAAAGGGATAATGACTGAGTACAGATACTCCTCAACTTATGACCACTGTTGAGCCCAACATTTCTATGGCTAAGCAAGACAGTTGTTAAGTGAGTTTGCTTCATTTTAAGACCTTTCTTGCCACAGGTGTTAAATCACTGCAGTTGTTAATTTATTAATTTACTAATACGGTTAAGTGAATCTGGCTTCCCCATTGACTTTGCTTGTCAGAAGGTCGCAAAAAGTGATTGCATAACCCTGAGACCCAGCAACTGTCATAAATACAGGCCATTGATCAAGTGTCCAAATTTTGATCATGTGACTATGGGGATGCTGCAAAGGTTCTAAGTGTGAAAAATGGTCATAAACCCTCTTTTTCAGTGCCCTAGTAACTTCAAACGATCAGTAAACAAATGATTGTAAATTGAGGACTATCTGTAATCCATAGTTTTCACGCACCCAGATTAGAACATGCAGTCACTATCCTGTCAGATTCCATCTTTGAATTCAGGCTTCTTAATCATTATAAATGCCTTTTAATAACAATAGCAATAGCCCTTAGACTTATATACCGCTTCACAGTGCTTTACAGCCCTCTCTAAGCAGTTTACAGAGTCAGCATCTTGCCCACAACAATCTGGGTCCTCATTTTATCGACCTCGGAAGGATGGAAGGCTGAGGTAGTGAGAATCGAACTGCTGAACTGCAGCCAGCAGTCAGCAGAAGTAGCCTGCAGTACTGCATTCTGACCAATGTGCCACCATGGCTCTAAAGTTGTCTCCAAGTCAAGTTCAGTTCTTGGTGACTTCATTGATACAATCAGGATATTCTCTGGTGCGCTGCTTAGAGAGTCCAAGCAGTGGGTAATCTCATCTGATTGGCCAGAGACTGAGTTAAAATTTGCATAAACACGCCTCCTTCCTCCTTGAAGCTCCAGTTTGTTAACTCAGTCAGCCAAGAGAGACTTAATTCTTTCTAGCTCTACTGCTTGGACTTTTCTAATAGCCTTTGAGTAGTTCTTTCTTCAAATTTTCAACTGTTGAGATTCTGCGGCTTCGAAGTACTCCCCAGCCTTGCGCCAATCAGCTGAGCGGCGCAAATTGCTGCATTCTAACCAATGTGCCACTATGGCTCTTAAGTTGTCTCCAAGTCAAGTTCAGTTCTTGGTGATTTTGTTGACACAATCAGGATATTTTATTGGCAAACCTGCAAGTAGCTTACCATTGATGCTGTGCTGGTTACCCATTCAAGAATTAACCAGATCCACTCCTGCTTAGCTTCGAGACTCAGAAACAGGAGTTCTTGGTGCTTCTATTTGTCAAAGCTAACTACAGATAGTTTTCCATTTGCGATCCCAATTGGAATTAGAATTTTGGTCACTAAGCAACGCAGTCATTAATCAAGTCATCACACCACTGGCCCCAAATTTACAGTACAACCATTTTTACCGTGGTCGTTAAGTGGCTCATGGGAGTTAATTGACTCACATGGTTGATAAGTGAATCGTAGTCGTTAAGCAAACCCAGCTTCCCTAATTGACTTGGTTTGTCATTTCATTTCATTTCATTTCATTTTATTAGATTTCTATACCGCCCTACTCCCGAAGGACTCCGGGCGGTGCACAGCCAAACAATAAAAACACATACAATACAAAATTTAAAAAATAGAATAAAATCAAATTAAATAATTTTGGCCCCGACAAATTTAAAACCCCAAACTTTTAAAACCAATTTAAAATTGAATATATAAATACTAAAAGATATTTAAAATTTTAAAAATCTTTTATAAAAGAGGGGGGAAATTAGGCCAGGTCGGCCTGGTGAAACTGACTGGAAGGTTACAGATCAGAGTCTCATGATTTGCAACCGTTGTAAATATGAGCTGTAAATAAACACCCAGATAGCAGTCCCATGACTATGGGTATGGGTATGTGTGTGTGATGGTTGTGACTTCAAGGACAGGCCGTAAATCACTTTTTACAAGGCCATTGTAACTACAAACCATCATTAAATGAATTAAATGAATAATAGCCCTTAGACTTATAGGGCTACCTATATATATTTATATTATATTACATATATATAATAAATAATATTATATATTATATATTACATATAAATATATATATATATATTCCCAAATGCCATCACTCTGCTAAACAAACAATTCCCTCAATGCTGTCAAACTATCCACTAAGTCTGCACTACTATTAATCTTCTCATCGTTCCCACCACCCATCTCCTTCCACTTATGACTATATGACTGTAATTTGTTGCTTGAATCCTTACAATTTATATTGATATTGTTTCCTGATTGCTTATTTGTACCCTATGACTATCATTAAGTGTTGTACCTTATGATTCTTGACGAATGTATCTTTTCTTTTATGTACACTAAGAGCATATGCACCAAGACAAATTCCTTGTGTGTCCAATCACACTTGGCCAATAAAAAATTCTATTCTATTCTATTCTATTCAATTCTATTCTATTCTATTCTATTCTATTCTATTCTATTCTATTCTATTCTATTCTATTCTATTCTATTCTATTCTATTCTATTCTATTCTATTCTATTCTATATATATACAGTATATTAATGTATACATATATGTAGAGTTTATCTTTAGATCAGGGATGTCAAACTGGATTTCTTTGAGGGCCGGATCAGCATTGTAGTTCTCCTCCGCGGGCCAGCTGCATGGTGGTGGGGAGATGGGACGGACACCTCCTGCAGCACTTTGCCGGCCAAAATGTGGTGCGGGGAGGCACACACCCCCGCGCCCCATTTTGGCCGGCAAAGTACTGCAGGAGGCTGTCCAGGCTGAAAATGGGGCACGGGGGGCTGCACGTGGCCCTCTGCTCCCCATTTTGGCTGCTAGAGGCACTGTGGGCTGGTCCTTTGCTATTTCGAGGCTGGCCCTGTGGGCCAGTTTAAGCACCCTATGAGCTGGATGTGGCCCACAGTCCTTGAGTTTGACACCCCTGCTTTAGATGAAGCTAAATTCTTTCTCTCTCCAATTTTCCAATTAGGGTCTTGGAGTCGGCTAAGCCGGGCCATCCGCATGAGAGACAAAAGGGCTGACTTCGTAGCTGGGCAACTTGGTGGACGTGTGATAGTAGCTGGTGGCCTTGGTGAGTGTTGCTGATCTGGGAATCTTGGCTCAACACATGAGATGGTTTCAATTGCTCTTCCGAGCTGGGGAATATTTTAGTTCCTTAAAATACCCTGTTCCCCCCAAAATAAGACATCCCCTGATACTATAATAAGCCCAATTGGGCTTTTGAGCGCATGGCAATAAGGCCAAGTGCTTATTTCAGGGTTCAAAAAAATATAAGACAGGGTCTTATTTTTGGGAAAACATGGTAAATAAACCTTACCTATCTCATTCATTGTTTAAGAGATTCTTACTCATTTTGAAAACCTTTAGTTTTTTAAAAAAGACTTTGATATTTGACTGTTTTTCTCTGTCTAATTTTCTATTCTAGCCACCACAGTGTCTCTTAATTTTTCTACGCTATTGTGCAGAGCGTGTTAATAGCAGCTTAGGCACAGCAAATGATGACTCTGCAGTAAGTTAAAAAACAAACACAAAAGTGCATTTTAGCGGGATAACAGAGGCTTTACACTTTTACACCCTGTTTTAGCAATTGACGTCTCTGTTTCAGGGGTCTCGGAGAATTTTCTGGAAAGGCTTAGAAGAACTGGAGCCTAGTTAGGTAAAGAGAATAGAAGATTTGATAGGACCATTGGTGACAATCACAGCTGATAAGTCCATATTTTTCACATATGATTTATTTTGGAAGAACTGGTTTTTACTATTTCAACATTCTTATCTTCCCAAAGAAAGAAATTAAGCTGTGACAATGAGCATCTGCTTCTAAAACCTTGCCATACACCGTGTGTTATGTGTTTTATATATTTACCTCTACAAACAGTGATCATAATATCAATAAGAACAATAATTGCCAGCTTACTTGTGTAGGAATCCAGTTTGATTCATACATGTGGGAAAGGATATATCCCTTTCCAAGCCTCCTTTAAATCTCTGAAAATTTCCTATTATTGTGCACATGAATAACACTGACTCCAGCTAGGCAGAAGGATAAAATCAGCTACGGTTTCCAACTGAGCATATTTATCAAGGAATCGTGCAGAAAGTATTTGAGAATGTTGCTTCTAAAAATAAAGACTTGGCTGAAATTTAACAGGAGCCAAATCTTTTTAAGAGTTGAGATTTCTTGGGCTAGCAATAGCCTAAATTTGTTGTACATACTATCCTTTTAGTTGAGCTTCTATAGACTTATGTCAGAAAAATCCAACTAAAAGGATCATTATCTTATCAAAGGAGCTTGCAGAGAAGAAAAAATACTCTTGGACTGCACAATGTAACAAATCCATAATCTTGAACCTTAGTTAATTCCTTGGAGAAACAGCAATAGTACTTAGTAATAGCACTTATATTTATATACTGCTCAGTAGTTACAGCACCCTGGATAGTTTACAATGTCAGCACATTGCCGCCAACTATCTGGATCCTCATTTTACCAACCTTGGAAGGATGGAAGGCTGAGTCAGCCTTGAGCTGGTCAGGATCAAACCCCTGGCTGTGGGCAGAATTAGCCTGCAATGCTTCATTCTAACCATGGCAGTATTGCAGGCTAATTCTGCCCACCATTTCACCAAGGAGAAATGAAGATTTTTGTAAGCAAATGTATTTCAATAGGAACGGTTAGATAATGCCCTAAGAGTAAAATTCAGACTAATTGATTAATACTGGAATGATGTAGGGCAGTGTGTCTGATGTTGCTTGTCTGGAGCAATTTGAGCCTGAATAAAAGAAAATTCTTCCAGAAGGGAGAACTGGAAGACGTACTTGGGCTGCCTGAACTTTGGGCTGTCCTTGACATAAAGGACATGGCATGAAGACTCATATTCTGGAAATAGTGATGGGGAGGAGCCCTTGGTGCTCTTTGAGCTTGGATGCTTTTGTGCAAACATTTCATTACCCAACTAGGTAACATCATCAATGCTGTAAATAAATGTTTAATAGTAACAGTATAACAGAGTTGGAAGGAACCTTGGAGGTCTTCTTGTCCAAATGGTAAGAGGGTGGTTCTTATGCCAAGCAAGGAGAATGTTTGGATGTGACCCATGTATCTTCTGGTTGATTCCTGTGCAGGTCGTCTTTAACTTACAACCATTGGCTTAGCGACTGTTTTAAGGTACAGCGGCACTGAAAAAACTGACTTACAATTGGTCCTCCTCACACTTAATCACCGTCGCAGCACCCTCATGGTCACATGATCAAAATTTGAGTGCTTGGCAACCAGCATGTATTTATGACAGTTGTAGCATCCTGGGTTCATGTAATCACCATTTGCAACTTTCCGAGCCAACTTCCAACAAGCAAAGTGTCAGGGTTCCAAGTAACATACCGACAGCAAACAGAATGCTGAGGCAGGCAAATTCCTCAAAGAATAGGTTTATTGGAGATGTCATATTGGCACAGGCTGGTGAAAACCGACTCTGAATATTCCCACGGTTTTCACCTAATTAAAAGTGAAAGTTTGTCACTTTGTCAGAACAATCAGTCACATGGTCCTAATCAGGATATGCCAAGTTGCTAAATGACTCCAGTCCCCTCCTTCCGAGCACCTGCAGGAATATCCTTGGTTCCCACAAGAAAGCATTTTGTTTTGGCTACAACACCCCAACTATCTCTATTCCCCCCTCCCTAGCCCTCTTCTCCGGTGTGTCACCGCCGAAGCCCCAAAATGGCCTCAGTCAGGCCAGCTTCAGGGCTGACACAAACTCAGTGGGAAAAGCCATATTTGCTTCGCTACTGTGTCATTTGGTTAACAAATGAATGTTTAATAACTGTGGAAAAAAAGGTCACGACATCGAATGCAACTCATTTAACAACTGCTTTGCTTAGCAATGAAAATTCTGTTCCCAATTGTGGTTGTAAATTGAGGAATAACTGCATAGAGCTAAAATGAAGTTGAGGTTGAGTAATAGGTCATTCTTCAAGTCGTTCTTGGACGTGTGGTGGTGCAAATTTTGTTTCTGATGAATTTCTTTGTTTGGAGGCCTGTTCTACAAAGGAGGAAAAGGGCTGGGTTTGTCAATCAAGGTGATAACCGAGAGTGGATTCTGGTGTTGGCCCTGTTGCTTGAAAATCAGAGGAGTAATACACCTGTGTGAACACAGAGGCTAACGCAGTTTTGCTCACACAGTTTCTTTAATGTTTAGAGGTTGTGCAAATACTCTGTTGAAGAATATGCGCAGAGTAACCCTTGAGTAGCAAGGGTGTGCACATGAGAAAACGGCTGAGAGTGATTGTGAATAAGCACTGTCAATACAGACACACTGAGTTGTGGTATTCTTTTACTTTTAGGAAAAAGCAAAGCAAAGTCCAATAAACAATCCAGGTCATACACAGATAAAGATAGTTAATTTGTCAATCTAGGGATATTCCACGAACAAAGTCTTCTTACCAGTTGTTGTAGTCATATGCAATAAAACAGTTCTTTTTGGAGTTGCAAACAGGAACAAGTACAGCAGTAAAACAATCAGTAAAACAGTAGAAAAACAACAAGTAGCAATGATCAAGCAGTGATCATGCAGAGAGAACAGGCAGAGAGGAGCAGAGGTAGCAATAATAATGTAATAAGAACAATAAGCCATGATTCAAGCTTCCTCTTAAATACGTTGGCTACAGAGCTAGCCAATCAGAATAGAATATGATGCAATACAGCATTACAGTCTTAAAGCTATACCTTACATTTTGACTGCAAACATGCATTGATGGTTTATATATATTGCCAACCCAACCAGTTAGGCAATAGCTAACATACTCTTCTCGGGTAATCAAAAGAATTGTATAAATAGCTGTCCTGAAATGGCTTGGCTGTGTTTTTATGTATATTCAAAGCAGGGGTGGGGGGGAAGAATGACATGTTTTTAGCTGGATCAGCAAACACCGTGCCAGAATCAGTTAGGTGAAAACTAGGTCACTCGGCAAATACGGTACAAAAATCTCTGGATGCAAACTCATTTGGAAGGACAAGAAAAGATGCTGTTACTCAAGGTGGACGTAAGACCAGGCCTCCGAATACCAGGAGCAGATGCTCCATCCTTCTCCTGTGTGTCACTCCTGCAATCCATTCTTCCTAACAACATTTTTTCCCTTGAGGGAAAATTATTAAGAAATTGGTTGGGCAGAGGCAGTAGATGGCTTCGGGGGGGGGGGGAGGGAAACAAGTGGATTAGGAGTAAGAACATTATTTTTCCTCTGCTAATGCTGACCATAACAACGATATGATGCAGCAAAGGCCTAGCTATTCCATTTTAGTCCTATTCTTCCGCATCCATTAACCTTACTGCCTTCAACACAAGTCAGAAGGTCTTGTCTCTCCTGGCGTTCTGCCAGCAGCGTTTTTCTGAATTACTTAAGCAGTGAGGAAAAGCAGATTTGGAATATGTACCTTTCTGAACGTTGCCTGCTGTTTTGCAGCCAAAATATTCCAGTTTAAGTTCTGGCACATCCAATGAATTGAGCTTAAGCATTTGGGCTACAAACTAATCCAAGGATGCTGTCAGAACAGCAGGCAACAGGAGTAGTAGAGCCAACTCCTTGTATAATTTATGGGAGTTCTCCAGAACCATTCATAAGAAACATAAAAACACAAGGTCGTATATACTATTTCAGGACTAGAATAAAAAAAAAATAAGTGAAGATAGAGTCTGCGTTTTGCTACACTCTAGTCACCTTTTCAGGTAATAAATAGAATTAGTGAGGTAAATAACATCTTCCTCCTCCTACAAACTTTGTGAGTATGCCTTGTGGCATTTGTGTGTGTGTTTTTTTTTAAATGGATTTATAGGAAGAGGAATCTAATGTTGGGAATATTTTCAGGGGTATGCTGTGTGTGCTTATAGCTCTTGCAAAAGGGTAAGACCAATTGGATTGAAAATGATTTCCCTTGATTTCTTGAAGATTTATCTACTTTATTTGGGGTAGGGAAAGGAGCAGGTTTTTTTTCTGGTTGAAGGCCACACTTGACACAGGAAGGCATATATTCAAACAATAAGACATATTTCAAGTCAGTAGCTGATACCAGGACAGTCCCTAAAATTGAATGCAACTTAATTTCCACTTATACTAAGTCAAAGCAATGGTTTTGTGTTATTCCACTTTCCTCTCTTTTGAACAGAAAAGGATCAAAGTGGTGGTACAGATTATTTTGTGTCTTTTTACCATCTTCTGTAGTATCATGTATCCTGTTTAGAGAGGAAGGCAGGGAGAAAAGCATTTAATAATACTTTGTGTGAACAGATCTTATGATGAGCCCAGGCAACAATTAGTTATATTTGTCTTTCCTCTGAAGTGGACAGTGCCTCTACTTGTCACCTCTGCTTCCCTCTTTACACTTCCACCCTTGTGTAACTGAGTTCCTTCTGCACCTTTATTAGACTAGTTAGTGTTGGAAGAAATATCCTTCTGGGTTCAGTTCCAAGTGGGGAAAAAGACACTGGAAACATGGAGACTGCTTGGAAAGATGGTTTAATGGTGGACAGGATCACATGGTTTGAGTTCCTGAACAGAAAAGGGCCGAGATGCTGAGCGTGCTTTGATTTTATGCCCTGTCTGAGCTTTGAACTTTCTGAGGCACAGGAAGAGTATCCTGATTGGTTGTCAGACTCCCAGGGGGTGGGGGTCTTAGCTAGCCTTGCTGGCTGATGCAATCTTCCCAGGTGTCATGTGGTGAGTTTCTGTTGCTAGATGGGCCCTATTGTGTTGCAGATGATGGTCCATTGACAAAGGTGGGGGGAATGAGTGAGCTTGGCTGAGGCCTTAATGGCCCATTGACAAAGGTGGGGGGAGGCAGGAAGCTGCTTTGTCTTTAAAACATGTTTCATTTCTCATCCAGAGAAATATAATATTCTGCCTTTTTAATATTTCCTAAAATATTTCATTCTTCTAAGAGAGGGGTGAGTGCTAACTTCCTACATTCGTATCATACGTTCTGTTGTACAGTTTGGCAATGACATTTCATCTGGGTGTTGTGTGATGGATCTTCCTTTGACCCTGAACCTGTAGCTCATATCCTGTCCCAACCCCCTGTTGCAATACCCCCCCCCACCTTTTTTTTTCTTATGTAGATTGAAGGAAATATAGATAAGTTTTGTTCTTCATTTCCACAATGAAAATATCTCCTATAAACTGTGGAAACTTACCATCATAGCAGAGCTGCTGTGGGTGACTTCTGCCCCCGCTGAAAATAACACCAAACAGTATATTTTTTCTCCGGCTTTCTTGACCTTAAAAAAAAATCTATATTACACAACTTAACATCTAAAGATAAAATATAAGCACTCTCTATATGAAATAAATAAATCCAAAAAGATTCCATTTGAAACGGAAGTTAGAAAATATGCATCCTGAATCCCTTGGCACTGTCTCGCTGGCTTTCATGGAGAAATTACAACAGGCAGTGCCGGTGGCGTTGGCAATGTGATCTAGTGTGAGAAAGTGAGCTCAGATCTCTCGGCACCGTTTCTGGCTCGAATTTTGGCTCCAGGCTTCCAGAAATCTCTCGCGTTCGAAAGCACCACGTATCCTGTCAAATTCTTTGCTTCAGCAACAAGACGCGCCTGGCAGTAGATCCTGGGAGATATTTGGCTTGGTAGAATTCAATTGCACAGTTCTCTTTTAATTAACAGAGTGTGCAATTTTGACGCCTTCAGTATGTGGCACTGCAGTTGAGACAAATGCCAGCTGAGTCTCCGTTGGGTAAAGCAACCCAAGTTCACCCAACTTTCTCTCTCCTTCTTCTAGGGAACCAATCAAGTCCTCTGGGATCTGCGGAAGGATTTAATCTGGCTAAGAAGAAATGGGAGCCTTTGCCCTCCATGTCTATCGGGCGCTGCTCTTGTGCTAGTTTGGAAGCACCCAACCTGCTGTTTGTGATCGGAGGGGTGGCTCAAGGCCCCAGCGGTGCAGTGGAGGCCCTGAGCTTACAGGAGGAGGTCTGATTGAAGGTTATTATGAAAAGGTTTCCCCGTGCCAGCACCAAGGAGGACTCAAAAGTGCCTGTTGACGACAGCATTAGCATACGAGGAGGGAGCAGCGAGGAGAGCTTTATGGCCAACGTTGAGGCCTGCTGCGGTGACTTTTCCTTTTGCCATTCTGCAAATAACTCATTTCATCTCTGCAAAGCATCAAGTAGCTCAGAGACCAGAGCAGTCTGTTCTGTAGGCGAGGCTAGGGGTCAAGCAGTTTAGCGGCTCTGACTGCCGGAGGACAAAGTAGGTTTGACGCGGTTGATTCTTTTGATGTGCAGCTGTGGATTTCTTCGCATAGCTTTCCAAAGGAACAGGATTGGGAATTTGGGCTTGGTCTGGGTGAACTCTGATTGGAGCGGCTGCGTGACTGCCTCCTCATAAGCAAAACTCTCCAATTCTACTCTCTTCCTTTTGGTTATTTACTTATATTCCACTGCAATAGAATATAAAGCCAATACACCACAACAATACTGTCATTATTATTTTATTTTTTTTGGCTTTGATGAAGCTCTCTAGCTTAAAGATCTTCCCCCCCCTTTCTGTGGCTCAGCTACTCTGCAGATTGTCATTGCCGCATTAGTAAGACTCATATATAGCATCGCACTATTAATCGTCTAAGAAAAAAAGGGGGTAAGAGATGACCTGAGTTGATTGAGTTTGGGAGATCCATTTGCAATGAAGTCAGCACAAAGCTCGGGACACAGCTTCACCCATCTTCTAGCCAAGCCTGTTTGACAGCATAGATTGTCTCTTACTTATGAAAGACAGCAACGTTCCTTCAGCTGGGTCTGGGGAAGAGTAACCGGAAGTGCTGTCCCCGTGGAGCAGGTACTCCAGTATTTTTGCTTCAAGTTGTGATTGCTATCCTTGTGCTGATGCCTCTCTTGCTGCATAGCTGAGTGGACTCTAGGACTCTGGGTGTAGCCATTGCACCCCACGTGGTATGTTCCTAACTCTGTGTCTCATGTAGCACATAAGGTACCCTCTAGTTCAGTGCCTAGGAGGTGGTGTAGCACCTCACGCCAATAAAATCTGGATTTTTTTCCCCTCTGGCATTCTGTCTCATTCACTGTCGGGTTATATGTTCATTCAATGTTGGATTAGACATTACCACTGCAATGTCTTTACTGTGTTACAAGCTCTCTATTTTTTATCATTATTAAATGCTCAGCTGCATTCTCTAGACCAGAAGGGGACAATTTATGACCTTTAGACAGTGGATTGTAGCTCCCATGATACTTTTTAACTGTCCAGGTTGGCCTGCAACTTAGGTTTATTCCAGGGGTGAAATCCAGCAGGTTCTGACAGGTTCTAGAGAACCAGTAACAGAAACTTTGAGCAGTTGGGAGAACCGGTAGCAGAAATTTTGAGTAGTTCGGAGAACCGGTAGCAGAAATTTTGAGCAGTTCAGAAAAGCGGCAAATACCACCTCTGGCTGGCCCCAGAGTGGGGTGGGAATGGAGATTTTGCAATACACTTCCCCCAGGAGTGGGGAGGGAATGGGTATCCTCCCCCTGGGTTGGGGTGGGAATGGAGATTTTGCAGTATCCTTCCCCTGCCATGCCCACCAAGCCACGCCCACAGAACTGGTAATAAAAAAAATTGGATTTCACCACTGGTTTATTCTCATCTTTATCCAAAAATCAGCCTGTTCTCATCAGAAGACAAAGCAATTCATTAAAAATCTTAATTTAAGTGTTCAGATGTATATGTATGTGATTGTTAATCCTCTGGTTATGAACACGGGTTTGTGATCATCCATATTGTAGCCATGCCTGCTTGGCAGCATAGATGGTTTGGCAGCTGGGAAGCTGACAAGCTCAGTGTTTTTAACCACTGAGCCATTGTGCCGATGAGGTGAGCTCCTGTTATTTGCCCCAGCTCCTAGAGTTCAAAAGCATGAAAAATGCGAGTAGATAAATAGGTGCCACTTCGGTGGGAGGGTAACAGCGTTCTGTGTGCCTCTGCATATAGTCATGCTGGCCACATGACCACGGAAGGATCTTCAATTAACGCTGGCTCCCTTGGCTAAGAAAGGGAGATTAGCACTGCCCCTTAGAGTTGGGCACAACTGGACAAGGGAAACCTTTACCTTTTATGTCATTGTAAAGTTGAAAGATGTACACAGATCCCATCTCAATGCGTTCTTTCTCTAGTTCTGACTTTTGAGCATTCAAGTAAAATCAGAGATGGGCCACAATTACTGGAGGAGGATGTTCAAATGAATCGATCCCCCGTTCTAAACCCCCATATTTCCACAATTACAAATTGCAGAGAGGCTTTCTAAACATGTTGAAGTCATGGTATTCCTCTAAACTGAGATGGCCAGTCTTGAGTAAGCAGAAAACTACAATTGTGAAATTTGCTACCCCTATTGCCAATACTAATCTTGCCTCTATTCCCAGCTGCTATATAACAGTGCCAAGTTAACTGCAATCCGTTGGCTTCAAGCCAAGGTACTTTTGAGGCTGCCCTTTAGTGGATGTAAGAATAAGGACAACCTAAATCTTTTTTTTTTTTCATATAGAGGCTAGGAGTAAAATAAAGGCAGTATCACAGGCACACAGTAGAAAAGAAATGTCATTGAGATATGTTTGTATTGTATCTAGGTCCAAGATGACACAAAGGCCCTTAAAATCATACTGAAAGAGCTAAAATGTGCAGATTAAGTAACAGCTTACTAGAACTGCATTTTAGGAAACCTATGATTGAAAATGGATATGTGGCCACCAGGAAGCTTTAAAATCACTGCAACACTGAGTTGGGTGTCTAAGGAGATTCTCAGTCCTCTAGATCATGGTTGTCCCAAAGGTGCTTTTTCAAAGAGGCAACTGGACTTTCTGGTTTTTCTTTGAAGCGAAACGCCTTCAAAGAAAAACCAGAAAGTCCAATTGCCCCTTGAAAAAGCACCTTTGGGACTGAGATGGGTGGCATATAATTTAATAAATAAATAAATTAGAAAGTAGGATACCAAGGTCCATCTTAAGCTTGAAGCCAACCTTAAAATTGATGGCTACACGTTTTGGTTTTCACTTCTTTAAGGATATTTGTATTTGGACCCCAAACACTACACTCAACATATAGCACAATTTCGGCTATACACAATTCATACCCAACAGCATATGAACTTATTACCAGCAATCATTAGACCTTAGATATAATGATCGAAAAGATTAGATCATATTATCTCTTAATAAAGGTAAAGGTAAAGGTTCCCCTCGCACCTATGTACTAGTTGTTACTGACTCTAGGGGGCGGTGCTCATCTCCGTTTCAAAGCCGAAGAGCCAGCACTGTCCGAAGACGTCTCCGTGGTCATGTGGCCGGCATGACTAAATGCCAAAGGCGCACGGAACGCTGTTACTTTCCAACCAAAGGTGGTCCCTATTTTTCTACTTGCATTTTTTACATGCTTTCGAACTGCTAGGTTGGCAGAAGCTGGGACAAGTAATGGGAGCTCACCCCGCTATGCAGCAGTAGGGATTTGAACCGCTGAACTGCTGACCTTTCAATCGACAAACTCAGCGTCTTAGCCACTGAGCCACCGCGTCCCTCTGATCTCTTAATAATACCTCATAAATCTGGGTCTTGGGATTGGGTATATTTCTGTCATGGCACAAGCATGGATTACAAGACTTTCCAATTAGACTTCCTTAATTTCCAATTTCAAACTATAATGTTAAGGAGAGAATAATCCAATACCTCAAAATAATGGTGGCCTACAAAAGTTTAATGCATACCAAAGGTTATGAACATGTGACATTTTCCAACCAAGACCCGGCTGAGTTAAAATCCAATCTAACAAGTGAGATTATTACGGTATCCATTTATTCAGTTGTCATACGAAAAGTTTAAAGTCACTAATGACAGATCTAAAAGAAAGAAACTTTCTCTTTCACAAATTTTGATGCTCATTCTTCATGCCTGCTACCTTTCCTGAATGCTTTACTTACCCAGTTCTCCTGCCCTAACAACTTTATTTCAATTACTTATTTTGAAATACAAGATGATGACATTATATGCTACAATTAAACTTCAACAAGCTGAACAAGCTTAACGAAAAGATTTTCTTCAAAAAGATAAATAAATTCCTTTGTTAGAAAAATTGTCCAAGGAAGTGTGCTTGAAAACATAACACATAAAACATAACACATAAAACTGACAGGATCCTTCCTGTGCCGTTCATAGCAAATATTCTACCTTGGCAGAACTTGGCTGTGAGCTACAAAATATTCTCCGCTGTGACAAAAAACTCTCTGCAGTCCAGCAAGATTTTAATTATTTTTCTCTTACTTTTAGCATTTACAAAAGAGCTTTTCATTTTCCTCAGTCAAATGAACAGAACCTTTTGGATATGCGATCAACAATTATGCCAGTGCAAACAGTCGTAAACTGTCAGTCGGGGTGGAAGAAGAAACACCGAACGCTTAGAAACAGGTGCCGGAGCAACAGCTTCTGCAGCTGTTGTGTTGTCTGTTGCCGTGGCCTCGCTGCAGGCAGGAGCTGGAGGATCATTGGAGGCAAGAATGCTAGGCTCACTGGAGGCAGGAACAGTAGATTCGGGATCTTTCGGTTTGGGATCCTTGGCCAACCGCTGCTCTTGGAGTATGCTTGGGTTGGGTTGAGGTAAACAATAGCTGTGGTAGGTATGTTGGTAGGTGGTGCTGGGTATACGTTGGAGGGGTTGCCTTTGAAAGTGGTGTTGAATTAAGAGCTGGGGAATCTTCTCTTTGGAGTGGAAATCGTACTGATAACTCGAGTGGAGGGGCCTATCACGTTCTAATTCCTCCTTCAAGGGGACCCAGTCAATCAAGTTCCGGGTATTGGGAAGACTCCCTTCTATTCTCCTTCTCCCTAAGCCCTGCCATAAAACAAGGAGAATCTGTTCAGACTTGCACTGATGAAACAAGTTGAATTTAATCCAAAAATAAAAAAAAGGATGCTAGTTACCGAAGGTGAAGATCAAGCAAGTTGTAGAGACCATTGAAAAGAGCCCCTGCAACAGGGGTGATCAACTACATATAGTCCTCGACTTACAACAGTTCGTTTAGTGACCCAAGTTACAAAGGCACCGAAAAAAGTGGCTTATGACCGTTTTTCACACTTACGACAGCTGCAGCATCCTCATGGTCACTTGATCAAAATTCGGACGCTTGGGCAACTGTCTCAGTGTCCCCAGGGGTCATATGATTACCTTTTGCGATCTTCTCCCAATGTCTACGGAGATTCTCAATCATCCAGATCCTGGTTGTCCCAAAGATGCTTTTTCACGAGGCAACTGGACTTTCTGGTTTTTCTTTGAAGACATTTCACTTCTCCTCCAAGAAGCTTCTTCAGCTCAGGGCAGCTCATCCTCTGAGATGAAGAAGCTTGAAGCTTCTTGGAGGAGAAGCGAAACGTCTTCAAAGAAAAACCAGAAAGTCCGGTTGCCTCGTGAAAAAGCACCTTTCTCCCAACCAAAATCAAAGGAAAAGCCAGATTCACTTAATAACTGTGGCAAGATGTAAAATGGGCAAAACTTGCTTAGTAACCGAAATGTTGGGCTTCATTGTGGTCATAAGTCAAGGAGTACCTGTGATCTAAGCCAGTGATGGCTAACTTTTTTGGCATCGCATGCCAGGAAGCGGGGGGCAGGGGAGGTTCATGCTCATGCATGTCCACACCCATAATTCTATGCACTCCGCCTCGCGCATGCACATGCGCCCCCCCTCCCCCCCGGTCCTGGCATGTGATGGCCCAATAGGCCCGTTTTTCTTTCTCACCTGGCTCCAGATCCTCTCTATATATCTGGGGAGGGCGAAAACAGCCTTCCCCACCCCCTCGGAGGCCCTCCGGAGGCCTGAAACAGCCTGTTTTTTGCAAAAAATGTCACTTCCTGTCCAACCGAAAGTTGGAAAATGGGCTGTTTCAGGCCTTCAGAGAGCCTCCGAGGAGGTGGGGAAGGCTGTTTTCGCCCTCCCCAGATGCATAGAGAGGATGTGGAGCCAGGTGAGAAAGAAAAACGGGACTTCCCCACCACCCCCAGGCCCTCCAGAGGCAGGAAACAGCCTGTTTCCCTACTTCTGGTGGGCCCAGAAGGCCCAAAAATCGGTTGGCCGGTGCATGCATGCACGGCGGAGCTGAGCTGGCGTGCCAGGTGACATGGCTCTGCGTGCCACCTGTGGCACATGTGCCATAGGTTCGCCATCACGGATCTAAGACAAACCAAAGGAAAATACATAGAGTGGATTCCAATACAATCCCGGCCCCCAAAACTACTGATTTCTGCCCCCATTGGGGGAGAGTTTGAAGCTGTAAGCAATTAAGAGGCTTAGAGGTGAAATGCTCCCGGTTCAGACCAGTTCGGCCGATCCAGTAGCGATCGTGGCGGGTGGTTCGGAGAACTGGTAGCGATGGCGGCGAGAGGCTCTGTCCACCTGCCCGGTTGTTGTTACTTCCTGTTTTAACCAGGAAGTAATGTGTTTTTTACGCTCTGCACGTGCGCAGAAGGTTTTGTGCATGCACGGAGGGTCCATGCGCACACATAACGCATGCCAGCAAAGCAAGCACGTGCACGGCACGTGCACTTCCAAACCGGTAAGGAAGGTAAGTAGATTTCACCCCTGGCTTAGCTACATGGCTAGGTTACTGCTTTTACAAGGATGTCCAACCGGTGATAGCAGTTCCTGAGAGAATCCAAGAAGCTGCTGAAGAAAGGTTAGTGACCCGAGAATTTTTCAAGAAATAGCCAAGCACTAAATTTAGTGCTTTCTGTTGCTACAATAAGAGGAGAGAAACATGAGATTTGGAATCTCACTTTTGTCCCTCCCTGTAAATATACTCACATGCTCAAAATACGTAGCTGTTCCTGGGAAGGCTTGTCGGTTGTCATGCTTGGAGAATATGTGCTTTGAAGGGTTTTCCTTAAAAAAAAAAAAAAGAAGACATGATATTAAGGTAAAGATGTTCCTGACTTTAGGGGATGGTTTTCATCTCCGTTTCAAAGCTGAAGAGCCAGCGCTGTCCGAAGACGTCTCCGTGGTCATGTGGCCGGCATGACTAAACGCCAAAGGCGCACGGAACGCTGTTACCTTCCCACCAAAGGTGGTCCCTATTTTTCTACTTGCATTTTTTATGTGCTTTTGAACTGCTAGGTTGGCAGAAGTTGGGACAAGTAATGGGAGCTCAGCCCGTTACACAGCACTAGGGATTCGAACCGCTGAACTGCCGACCTTCTGATCAACAAGCTCAACGTCTTAGCCACTGAGGCACCATGTCCCTGACATGATATTAGTCCCCTGCCAAATACACAGCCGACAATATTTGGTCAGGGATCGAATTCCGCTGCAACCTGCAAAAATTAGACATTTAGGTTAGCAACCAAGAAGTTGCCATGTATTTGTTTGGGCTGCGCGAGATACAGGTAGCCTCCGACGTCTCATATCTCTGTTCTCTTCTCCATCTGCATAATACAGGTGGTCCTCGACTTACAATAGTTCGTTTAGTGACCATTCAAAATTACGACGGAACTGAAAAAAGTGACTTATGACCGTTTTTCAGAGTTACGACCTTTGCAGCATTCCCATGATCGTGTGATAAAAATTCAGATGCTTGGCAACTGACTCCTATTTACGACGGTTGCAGTGTCCCGGTGTCACGTGATCCCCTTTTGCGACCTTCTGACACCAAGCAAAGTCAATGTGGGAAGTCAAATTCACTTAACAACAGGGTTACCAATTTATCAACTGCAGTGATTCAGTTAACAGCTGTGGCAAGAAAGGTCATAAAATGGGGTGAAACTCACATAACAAATGTCTCGCTTAACAACAGAAATGTTGGGCTCAATTGTGGTCGTAAATTGAGGACTACTTGTACAATGCTATTAGGTTAGAGTTAGTCCTCACATTATGAGCACAATAGGGACCAGAATTTCAGTTACTAAGCAAGGCTGTGGTTAAGGGAGACACCCAGTTTTAGGACAGTTTTTTTGCGACAGTTAAGCGAATCATTGCAGTGGTTAGGTGAATCTCATAGTTGTTAAGCAAATTTCGGCTTCCCCTCATTGACTTTGCTTATCAGAAGCCAGCTGGGAAGGTTGCAAATGGTGATCACATGACTGTGATGACCTGGGGCGTGGCCCAAAGGCAACACAGCCAGAGAAAGGGACGTTGACTAACCTGAACGTCCGTTTTATCCTCGCTGCGACGACATTCCACTGATTGGGGTACTCTCAGTCTCACTGGACAGCCTGGGTGCCACTCAAACTTCCTCTACAGCTAGGATACGCCCACACCTCCTGCGCACGTCCAGTCTTTTCACGAAGTTTCATCTTCATATCCTTGATTTCTTGCTTATGTCCTCAATTTCAGACTATATTCTATCTCGGACTGCAATCACTGTAGCTGTAGAGGAAACAAAACAAATTCCCCCAACCTTGGCCAGGCGATGGACTTCAACAGGGAGGGACGGAATGTCGTCGCAGCGAGGATAAAACGGACGTTCAGGTTAGTCAACGTCCCTTTTTCCACCTCGCTGCTCCGACATTCCACTGATTGGGACATACCCAAGTCTTTCTTTAATGGGAGGGTTTTGAATCCATCCCCTGGCCCCTGTTGGGAATTATGTATTGCAAAACTCTTCTACCGAATGATGCATCCGCTGAAGCATATGCATCCACTCGGTAATGTTTAATAAATGACGATATTGATGACCATGTGGCCGCTTTGCAAATATCTTCTATAGAAGCCTGTGTGGCCCAAGCAGCTGATGTAGCTGCACTTCTAGTAGAATGTGGTACTATGCCTCCTGGTACCTGGTAACCTTTCCTTTTATATGCTGAAGCAATGCAAGCCTTAAGCCATCTACCTATTGTAGCTGAAGATACTTTTTTTCCCATCGTCGATGGTAAAAATGATATCAGCAATGCTTCCGATTTACGGAATGATGCTGTTCTTGTAATATAACACTTCAATGCTCTACGAACATCTAATGTATGCCAAGCCTTCTCTAATTGATGTTTAGGATTTGGACAGAAATTAGGTAGTACAATGTCTTGAGATCTATGAAATAGCGAATTAATTTTTGGTATGAATACTGGATCCAGTCTCATCACCACTCTGTCTGGAAAAAATATACATAGATCTTTACGAATAGACAATGCTGCCAATTCCGATACTCTACGAGCTGATGTTATGGCTAGTAAAAAGGCTAGTTTTATTGTAATATGACGTAAGTCCGTATCTTTAATAGGTTCATATGGTTCCGAAGTTAATGACTGTAGTACCAAGTTTAAATCCCAAGTTGGATATCTGTGTACCACTGGTGGTCGTAAATTTGCTGCTCCATGTAAAAATGATCTAATCCTAGGATCTTGAGATAAAGAATGACCTTTGTCAGTATTTAACACTGTTGCTAGTGCTGCTACCTGACGTTTTAATGTAGCTGGAGCCAGACCTTTGTCAAATCCTGACTGTAAAAATTTTAGAACATCTTGAACATTCGCCGAAGTAGGATCTGTATGATGATCCAAAGCCCATCTGGCAAATTTTTTCCACGACGCATTATAAATACGTATGGTTGCTGGTCGTCTGGCAGCTTGAATAATATGAATTACTTCATCTGGTATTTGGTCTTTTTTTAGATGAATCCTTTCAAGCGCCAGACGGTCAACTGGAACCATTCTGGCTCTGGATGATAAATTGCTCCTTGACTCAGTGACATTTTGTTTACTGGCAGCTTCCATGGTTGTTGGATCGAACAATCCCTCAGGTCTGCAAACCACTCTCTGCGCGGCCAATATGGTGCTATTAAAATCAGATCCGCTTTCTCCTCTAACATTTTCCTGATGACATGTGGAATGATGGGAATTGGAGGAAATGCATAAAGTAGCCCCCGAGGCCATTGAACTCTCAGCGCATCCAGAGCTTCTGCTCCTGGAACTTGAAATCGGGAAAAAAATCTCGGAAGCTGGGCATTCTTTTCCGTTGCAAATAGATCTACCTCTGGTTTTCCGAATCTCTTGACAATCTGCTGAAACAAACTCGGGTGCAACTTCCACTCCGATTGGTCGATGATTCCCCTGCTCAACCAATCCGCTTGTTGATTTAGTGATCCTGATATGTGTTCCGCCTTTATGGAAAGGACGTATTTTTCTGCCCATTCCATTAGTCTTTCTGTTTCGTCCATGAGAATTTTCGATCTTGTTCCTCCTTGTCTGTTCAGATGCGCCTTCGTAGTCATGTTGTCTGTTAGAACTAACACATGTTTTTTTGTTACTTGTCTCTGAAATTTCTTTAACGCCAATCTGACCGCTCTCAATTCCAACAAATTTATGCTTTGTTGTTTCTCCACCTGAGACCAAGTGCCTTGTGCTATTTGAGATCCCAGATGGGCCCCCCATCCACTTAAACTGGCATCTGTGGTCAACTTGATTCTGACTGGCTCTAGAAAAAGAGTTCCCGCACTTATTGCAAAAGACTTCCACCATTCTAGTGATAGTCTCACTTTGTGAGGAACTACAATTTTGTTTTGAGAATCCGCTATGCCCTGCCTTTGGAAAGGCAACATTAGCCACTGTAGTTGTCGAGAATGACGTCTGGCCCAAGGCACTATGTTTATACAAGAGATTAGTTTTCCTAGCAGTTGAGACAGTAGGATCAATGAAACAGTCTTTTGTGATAGAACCTGAACTATCAGACTCCGAATGCTGGATTGGCGCTCTGGCGATAGATATACTAAGCCCTGTCTGGAGTCTATTACTGCTCCCAGATGTATAATCCTTGTTGTTGGTACAAGGTGACTCTTGTCCCAATTGATAGTTAATCCATGATCCTCCAATGTTTTGAGAACTACAGTTCTGTCCTCGTTCGCTCGGTCTATTGAAGACGACAGTATCAATATGTCGTCCAGATAACAGACAATCCTTACTGATTTTTCCCGAAGTGTTGCTGCAACCGCTGCCATCAACTTCGTGAAAGTTCGTGGGGCCGATGAAAGGCCAAAAGGCATAGAGCGGTATTGGAAATGTCGATTCGCATAAGCGAATCTTAGATATTGTCTGTGCGCCTGGTATATGGGTACATGTAGATACGCCTCCTTCAGGTCGATGGATTGCATCAGATCGTTGGATCGGATACAAGCCAATACCGACCTGAGGGAGTGCATCTTGAAGCGGCGATATCTCACATGAAGATTCAACCGCTTCAAGTTGAGGATGGCTCTCCATCCTCCCGAGCTCTTGGGCACAAGAAATACTATTGAATAAAATCCTTTTTGTATCTGGTCCGGTGGAACTAATTCTATGGCTTCTATTTTTAGTAAATGTTGAATTTCCAGATCCATGAGCTTTTGTTTGTCTAAATGCTTTGGAAAGGGGCATTGTATAAAACAATTTGGAGGAGTTGACGTGAACTCCAGTTGTAGACCGTCCGATACTGTGCGAATGATCCAGTTGTCCTTTGTTGAAATCTCCCACTGGTGGTAAAACAACTGGATTTTTCCCCCAATGGGACGAGGAGTCAATGAGTCATTTACCCCTGCGGAATGAGCGAAAGCTCGTTCCTCTGAATGGACGTTTGAAACCTGTCTGGCGTCTTCCTCTATCACGGAATGTTGCTCTTTCCGAAAAGTTGGAATATTGTTGAAAAGATGATCTAGGAAAATAGGAACCGCCAGGTCCCTGCTCTTGCCGAAAGGGCTGCCTTGGATATGGTGAGAAACGACGATCTGGACGTCTATATGATGATGGTAGCACCTTCTTTTTATCACGTCCTTCTACTAATATTGCATCCAAAGAAGAACCAAATAAAGACTGGCCTTGATATGGTGCAGCTGTAAGACGCCATTTTGATTTCATATCGGCTTTCCACTGTTTCAACCAGAGTAGTCTACGAGATGTTATTGCGGAAGCCAACGCTCTGGATGC